AGAATTACTCAGAAAAACAGGAAAGTTCTAGTACTTCTAGTTGTTTAGTTCAGCTCAATTTGAAAGTCTAATCAGGGACAGGGTCTGAAAATTAACTTCAGCTCGACCCCAAACTGTATTAACTACATCTGTTGCATTACTTTTTTCAGTGCTCGACAGTGATTATCTGTCTCAAACAAGTAAAAATGTTTTAAAAAAGGAACCAGTAATGCAGCTGGCCTCCTGAACAACAACCGTTACACATGATTATCTATTTACTTGATCCAAGTTGTATAGGTTGAGTTGTTCACCCTTGTCTTAAGCAGTGAAATAAATGACATGACAAATACATTTTTAATTGACATCTGTATGAGCCCATTTATTACATCATATAAATCTACTAAAAGTATAAACATGGAATACAAAATGCTCATAGAAAATACATACAATAAGGGCCTTGGGAAACACTTTATAAAACAATACTGTATAGAATATGAAACATATAAAAACAAAACTTAATCAGCACATCATGCATCAAAGCCAAAAGATGAAAATTCTTTTTTTAATAAAATGGATAGTAAAAAAAAGAAAGAAAAAGTTGAAAAAGCCTTCACTGATAATGCTTACAAAGAAAGGTCAAAGGCATCTGTAAGAAATGAGCTCTGAGATTAATGGCTTATGGTCAGACACATAGTAACCATCTAAATTAGAAGAAAGAAGAAATGCAAAAACATACAATTCAAGATGTCCAGCCTCATTGCTGTAACCAGCTCATTCAAATACTCATCGAGTTTTTCTCTTTAATTTTCTTTTTAGCTTTAGCACGAGTGGACTGGTAGTACGGTTTGTTCTTGAGTCAGACTGGGAATTGGTTCATAAGACGATACAATCACTGATTAGTACAGAAAATGTATCTGCAGATGAGATTCTGGCAGAAGAGGGGAAGAAACGTGGGAAAAAGAAACGTGAGTGCTGCAGAATTGTGAGGTCAAAGTGTTCAAAGGTTCAAAGGTCTATTTAACTTTTCAGTATCTACTGGAGAAAGCTGCAGGGTGTTTGCAAAGAAGACAAAATTACATAGAAACATTTCCCTACTTGTGCTGCACACATATTTTGCAAGCTGAGTACCAAACAAACAATATATCATGAGTATAAATGTATACCAAAGGTAGTAAGATTTAATAAATCCTTCATAATCAAACATCATGTAACATATTCAAGCAATAGTTCGACATTTAAGGAAATACACTTTTTCACTTTTTGGTGGAGAGTTAGATTGATTGAAAAGATGAATAACAATTTCTGGTCTGTACAGTAAATATTAAGTTACTGCAAGCAACGGGTCTCTCGGACTACTTCTTGTTTCTGTGTAATTTTGTCTTCTGTTTCTGAGCGGTTGCCAGGCAACCTGTGGAAACTTCAGGAAGATATTTCCAGCTACCAAGAAATAGCTTAGTCCGCCACACAAAAGGCGAATTGTGTGGTTTTTGAACAGATTGAACTAATCAGATAATAGCATGTTAACTTGTGAGCTTTAGGAGTGCTGGTCGGTGGATTTTATTACCGTCGTTCAGATCCAGGTTGGTTGTTTCCTGTCTTTATGCAAAGCTAAGCTAACTGGCTGCTGGCTGTAGCCTTATAGACAGACAGAAGAGTGAGATTGATCTTCTTGTCTAACTCTCTGCCAGAAAGCAAATTACAATAAATGTCAAACTATTCCTTTAAGGTACTGTAACAGCAATATAGCATGTATTACCTTTACATGAACTGACCAAAAACTTCTTTAAGCAGAGTAGAACGTCCCTTAAAGACCTCATTAAAAGAAATGAAAGGTTTGCGTTTTTTTAACATGTCAAACTATTGCATGCTACCAATTTCATAAAAGGCACAATGATCCGAGCAATAAAACAATAAAATTGGTTCTGGCTTTAATCTTGCTCGATCTCTGCTTCTTTGTTTTCTATTTGCCGCCTCCTCAAATTTAGTGTAATCAGTTTCTGCTGTTGATCATGCAGCATTCAGCAGCGAAATGGACCCTCCTGCTGTTTAACTTGCATAACTCAGTGCCCACATTTCCTTCCAACCAAAGCCACATTAAACTCTCACTTCCATTACATGGGGTCTTTAAAAGGCTACTCATTGAAATGCCTTCATCCTTATAATGTATTCAATACATTTTAGATAGAGAAAAATAAAGATATCACATTTACAATATAAATGAAATCAGGTCCTTCAACATAAGAATATTTGAAAAAGGTGATAAGTGCGAGTTACATACATCGTTTTTAGCCCATGGACATACACTAGCACTGCTAACAAGCAAGTTCTGCTTCCAGTATGTCAAAAATACAACCACAAATGCTGGTACTGTTTCGTATTGCCTGCAGTGACTCACACACGATGAATCAGCTTGTTAAAAACCTCAACTTATTTCTTTTTTTTGTTTTGGCCTTCACATTTTTACCTCCGATCACCACTGTGTGGCTTTTTCGATGTTTCTGCTAGATGAAGCACATGACAAACACAATCTGTATCACAAGAGTAATTCCATAGTCTAAATGTTAAACGGCATCGCTTTGTAGACGCTTTAGTTGATAGCACACTGAAAATATACATTCAGCTAGTGTCATGGTCATCAGGCATACAATGAACACTAATATAATTGAGAAAAACCTTTACACAAACAAAAAAGAAAACATAGTGATGGTTCACTATCGGATTTTTCAAAAACCTGAGCTGCTGTCAGAGTAATCAGTAACCCGCTGACATCTTTGCAAAGTACCCTCAAATGATTACATGAGCCAATAAGTATTAGTTTCAATGCTTACTTGAATTCTGTTATTACTTGAGGATGCAATTTCCACATATTTACACTATATTCTCAGGCAGAACGAGGCGGTGTTCCCATTACGGAAGTGTTAGGGTAGGTGGGATCTTGTGACCCCTCGCTGTTTCTGTTTCTGGCGATATTTCATTCATGGACACAGGGGTACTTGCCATCATACAAACGTTTTACCACCTTCACTTGCCAAGTCCTAAATACTATATGCAAGTAAACACACCCAAAACATGAAAGAAAACAAACTTCAGAACGATCCATACCTTGATCAGATGTGTTTGGTTTGATGGGTCATATTAACTTATGTCCCGTACATTCACTGATGAAAGGCTTTGCTTATGAAATCATAAAAAAAACATGTCAGTCAGCTGGTATGCCAAGCACGTTTACAGGGTTTTTTTTTGTTTTTTAAAAAGCACTGTTATCCTGTAATACCTAGGCACAAAGAGGTAACGGCTATAGTGGCAAGTGTTTGTTTTATGGACGGACGTGCATACTGTAAGTCAAGGCCTGATTACCTGGTCCTCGTAACAAAACACAAGTTACAAAACCTAAACATTTGCACAATATCACCTTTATATCTATGAAGTGATCAATACTGTTACCAGGAATCCTACGGAGTGTGAAGGCATGTTTCCGCAATGGACGGTAGTTTTAGTGCGAGGGCAGGGTGGCAGTGTTGGCTGCGTTGAGTTGGCCCACAGCTAACATCAGGATGTCTTTCTTCTCTTTGTAAAAACGCAGTTCTCTGCCCGCCAGCCTGGCATCCTCCAGTTCTCGCTCTGTCGACGCCATCTCCTGCGCAATGGTGGCGGCTACGCTCTGTTCTCGGTTCACCCAGTCGGCAGCCATCTGAGTGCGCATGTCATCATCCAGAGCCCGGTGGGAGTAGTGAGCCAGCACTTCCTGCAAAGTTTAGAGAAATCAAAGAGGGGAAGCTAAGTGGTCTTAGCAACTAGACGACAAAGACTTTAATAAATCTTCGCGAAATTCTCAGGTAAAAGATATAACGCAACTTATTTCTAATTTGAAGTAGGGACACAGCGATATTGACAAAGCCAGTGAACATTTAGTATCTGCCAGGCACATTGAAACTGAACGTTTCTTTGTCAGCGTCATTCTAAAAGTCTGTGTTTCAGTTACATTCATTTGGTCACAGTGAGCTGCCAACTCTTTGGTATCAGGTTTCTTTACATAAAAATGATGAATGTAACTGAATGAATGAAAAGAGAGTGCTGGTATTGGACCAGTACTGAATATCTGCAGAAACCCTGAGTTGTGGTATCAGACTCGGTATCGGGGGAAGCAGAAGTCACAAATGGCGCTGCCCTAATTTGAAGGTACTTCACAATGCCTCACATGTCAGCTGTAAAACCAATGCAGTGCAACTACAGATTGTTTTTTAAATCCATTTTTTTTAGCTAGCCTGTGTTGGAATTTTCTTCTGCAGTGATCTTATTTTCCAGCTCCCCGCTGCTCTCTAACAACGCTCCAATTTGTGGTGTGCAGAAAAAAAATGTAATCTGTCTGGACCAGTCTTGCCAAGCAGGGAAAGATTTAACACTTTGTTTAGGAAACTTGATGAAAAGTGATGAAAACTACTACTGTAGTTGGATAATTGAACCCATCTGTGAGATGAATGATAGTACCTGTCGGGAACACTGTCGTTCTCTCATGGCTTTGAGACTCCCATTCCAGTGCAGCAGCTGGAACACAGTCATCAGCTCCTGAAACACAAACACAGCCAAGCCAGCAGCAATAAGGCATCAAATTTACTGCAGAACACTCAATGTGTAGGAATTCAGGAGTGCAAACTCTGCTTGCTTCCTTCAGATTTCCTATTTTCAAT